GTTTCGAATAATAGTTTATTATATGGTAAAAGCAAGCAGCCGGCTGGGTGACAGAAATGGGACCAGTTTCCCAAATCTGCACACCCTTACTACAGGGTACATTTAGTATTTATCTTAGCTACTTCATGCATATTAATTATATCATATACATATACATTCTACAGGTTTTTGCTAAGTATTTAATATATGGGTTTTCTTACAGCTAAAGCTAAAAGGGTTATCTCTACAACCAGTCATAATTCATGCATTCTTGGACGAACAGGCGCCTAAAGATTTAAAGTTCTACTATATTTTATTCTTCGGACAGTAAGGAGGTTTTAGGCCTCTTGACCTTGTAAGGGTCTGTTTTATTTCTTTATGGGGGTGTAATTAAGTTTTACAATCCGTTTGTTTTATTTTGATGTAATCACCCATTTGTTTCACGAATCACAATTATTTATATATCACAACGGGGATCTCGGTATATGGTCGGGGGGGAAAACTCACGTGGGTAGCACTGAGGGTCCCAGTCCACTGCCAGACGGCAGAGGTTCAGTCTCTGGTGACGGGCAGGCAGTTTTACGGCGGCGGAGGAAAAGAAAAGGTGAGGGCGAGGCAGAGACGAGATTTTTCAGCTGGTATAGCCAAACTCTCTTTCTCACTCCTCTTTCCCTGATCTTCCCAAATTTCTCTTCAACTTTTATAGTGTTCAAAGGAGGTAGTCTGTGGTGTTTTGGCACGTAGCCCTGTTCAGATGTTTGCAGAGATATGATAAGGATGAACAATACCAGGATCTTTTGGCAGGAAAACTCCAGTGGGAAAATTTTGGTGAGAACTTCTGGTGGAAAACTGACACAGAAGTTTTGGTAGGAAGTTTTTGACAGGGAGAAACAATGGCGAAACATAATTTTTGGCATTTGTATGTTATCTGTCTGTTACACCGGCTCTCCGGGTAGTTCCGTGCGGCTGCTCACCTGGGCTGAAATCACAGGAACACAGAATCATTTAGGTTGGAAAAGCCCTCTAAGACCATCAAGTCCAACCATTCCCCCAGCACTACCAAGGCCACCACTAACCCATGTCCCCAAGTGCCACATCCACATGGCTTTTAAATCCCTGCAGGGATGGGGACTCCACCACTGCCCTGGGTAGCCCGTGCCAATGCCTGACCACTCTTTCCGTGGAGAAATTTTCACAATATATAACCTGAACCTCCCCTGGCACAACTTGAGGCCGTTTCCTCTCCTCCTGTGCCTTGTTCCCTGGGAGCAGAGCCCAACCCCACCAGCTCCCCCCTCCTCTCAGGGAGTTGCAGAGCCAGAAGGTCCCCCCTGAGCCTCCTTTTCTCCAGGATGAGTCCCCCCAGCTCCCTCAGCTGCTCCTGCTGCTCCAGACCCTTCCCCAGCTCTGTTCCTTTCTCTGGACACACTCTAGCCCTTCAAGGTCTTTCTTGAAGTGGCAGGGGATTGGGATGTTTGGGTTCTTCCATCTCAGTTGAACAGAACAAGTGGGACCTTGGGTGAGAAGCAGGAGAGAGACGATCTCAGTGGTGTGTTTGCTACCCTGGGATCTGTAGAGAGCCTGTCTGGACAATCACTCCACTGATTACCTCAATCTGCTGACAAGGGGATCCAGCCTGGATGAGGTCATCCTCCGTGGGCTCCCATCTGTCCTGGCCCCAGATCCCCCAGAGCTCCCCTTGCTCAGCCATGCCAGTTGTGTGCTGCTCCCGGAACGCTGGGATTTTGTTTACTATGCACCAATTTATTCAATTTTCAGTTTAAAATATAAAAAGCACGTGGGCTATAGCAACATAATTTGCAGCCTGCTGATTAATAATACAGCTGATGGAATGAAATTGGGCTGCAAGCTCAAAGTGCTGAGGAAAGCTGGAATTTGGTAAGCAGTGTGTGCGTGAGGGGTAGGCAGCCTGCAGCCAGGAGAGGAGACTGCTGAGACCAGAAACACTGCTTTCTATTTTGCTGCCTCACACACAAAACCTGACTGTCACATCACCTTTGCCCTGCCCCACCATACAGTCTTCCATCCTTAGGGATGGTCAGGACTCAGCTGGAAAACTCTGTGAGGAAGATGAGCAGAGGAGAACAATTCCTAAGTGTTCCCCATCTATGCAGAAGGAAGGCAGCCCACAAAGTGTCAACTTATGAAAGCACAATTTTTTTCCCGTGGGTCCTGTGGTGCCCCCAAAGCCCAGCAACCAGTCTTAGCACCTCTGGAAATGTGGCCAGTTTTACACCAGTTCTTCATTTTATGGAATTAGTTACAAAACCGAGAGTATTCTCTGCCTGTTGTGTCTGGGCCTGTGAAAGCATTAACAATTTATCCCAGGGTGTGCTACCACAGGTCACTTGTAGGGCAACTACCGACACTTTGCACCGTGTTCCAAGGGCTGATAAAATAACAGGGATGTGTCTGGAAAAGGTGGTGTACTGGGTGTCGAGGAGGATGTGCTGAATGTACCCACTGGAAAATGACAGCACTGGACTGACTCGTGTCACTTCACTGGCACTGACAAGTTCGGATCTGGCAGGGGATTTCTGAAACTCACTCGTGCTGAGGCACTCGGGTCCTGTTTATTTCAGCAACCAATGATTAAACTCCCTAAATATGTTGGATAAGTTCTGTAATGGGAGACAGGGTAATGTTATGCAAGACAAACATTTTGCAGTGGGTGTAACAGCATCTTTATGCAAGTGTGGTGAAATACATCCCCAGACAGGGTAAAAGCCCCTCAGTACAGTCTGAATGTCATCCCCATGTATTTTGGCTTCTCTGCCTGTCAGGGGGGTGAATTTCAGACTCCAAATAAAATGCTGCACGTGCTGTGATTAGACAATAAAAATGCTACCTCTGCCAGTGACAATTAGCGTGGGAAATGACGACAGCAGAGAGAAGTATCCTCTTCCTGAAGGCATCCGATAGTCCATGCCTGCAGCGGGAAGGTTGAATGACCACGGTTCAGGCAGGACTAGTGTTACACATCCCTGCACTTGCCTTACCTGTGCTTGTGGCTGTCTTGCACAGGGAAGGGAGAGAACCTGGGTTAAAAACCACACTGTGTCAGGGTGAAAAAAAAAAGATTCTTACAACTCCCATTACTGGCACACACTTCAGGCACCAGCACCTCCTGCTTTGATGAAATGCACCGGGTCTCTCCTCACCAATCATCAGGAAATTGATGTAAACACTCAGGCAGGTTTTTGAGAGCTTTGCTTCCCTCCACTTAAAAAGAGACACAATTCCTCATGCTTGAGGGTGCAGCAAAGCCCATGATTATCTGTTCAGGTTCCATAGTGCTTAATTGAGTTGCTGTGCTGGTTTAAAGGTAAACCAGCAGGGGAAACGAACTCAACTCAAAAGAGAGATTATAAGTCAGAATAACAATTTAATAAAATAATACAACAAGTATGATTATACAGACAAACAATTGGTTTTAACCCACAAAACCCAAATGTATAACTCGGCACCCTGGGGCATGAACAGAGTGGAGTTCTTTGGGCCCCCTGAGTCCAAAGTAAAAGGAGAGGGGAAAAACCTGTTGGTGAGAGTGCTGTTGCAGTCTGGTCAAGAGTGGTGATTGCAGTCCGGTCAAGGGTGGTGGTTGCAGTCTGGTTGAAGAGTGGTGGTTGCAGTCCAGTTGAGAGTGGTGGTCTGCAGTTTGGTTGAGAGTGGTTATCTGCAGTCTTCCTCTGGATCCCACAAGTGGTTAAAAAAGTTCTAAGACTCTAAGATTATATATCCTCCAGTTCAGGCAGGAATGCCCAGTACCTCCCTAAGGGCAGGGGATTCTTCAATGGGCGTGAGGACAAGAGCACCCTCCTATCTCGAAGGCCTCTTAACACCTAGTTTATAACCTGAGGAATCAGGCTCTATGGGTAGATGGTGTAAATGGTTCATTGATAACAGTTTCTGGGAAATAGCATGGAAGGCTATAGAATACACAGTTTTGGGTTGCACCCATCCAGTGATGAACTGGTCCCAGCTGTTCTAACTAGGACATTATCCACCCCTTATTCTATGCCATCCATGTCATGCCCAAATTAACCCCCTTTAAAAACTACATCCCTTTAAAACTATATACATCTATATATATATACAATGAACCATTACAGACCTGTCTCACTCAAAATTAGGTCCCCTTGTGGTACACAACGTGTCTCCCCATCTTTTTGCATTACCCACCAGGTGAAACCAGGCCCCTGGGCAGAAACAATCCCTCGGATGTGTTTGCCTTTGCTTGAGGTGGGACTAATCCAAACAGTCTTCCCTAACATACCTCTCATATGCACCACGGGGACTTTATCTCCATCTACAGTATGCAAAGGTTCTGATTGGGCAGGGCCAGCTCGATTGATGGAGCCTCGGGTGTTGACCAACCAGGTGGCCTTTGCTAAATGCAGTTCCCAGTGTTTGAGAGTCCCTCCACCCAGTGCCTTCAAGGTGGTTTTCAGCAGTCCATTGCACCGTTCAACTTTTCCAGCCGCTGGTGCATGGTAGGGGATATGATAGACCCACTTAATGCCGTGCTCTTTGGCCCAGGTGTCTACGAGGCCATTCTTGAAATGGGTCCCATTATCAGACTCAATTCTCTCCGGGGTGCCGTGTCGCCACAGGACTTGTTTTTCAAGGCCCAGGATGGTATTCCGGGCAGTGGCATGAGGCACGGGGTATGTCTCCAGCCATCCAGTACTTCCTTCTACCATGGTCAGTACATAGCGCTTGCCTTGGCAGGTTTTGGGGAACGTGATGTAGTCAACTTGCCAGGCTTCCCCATACCTGTATTTCAACCACTGTCCACCGTACCATAGAGGCTTCACCCGCTTGGCCTGCTTGATGGCAGCACATGTCTCACAGTAATGGATGACCTGTGAGACAATGTTCATGGTTAAGTCTACCCCTCGGTCATGAGCCCATCTGTATGTTGCATCTCTCCCCTGGTGACTGGAGGCATCATGGGCCCATCGAGCCAGAAATAATTCTCCTTTGTGCTGCCAATCCAGATCTACCTGAGAGACTTGAATCCTGGCAACTCGGTCCGCCTGCTCATTGTTATGATGCTCCTCATTAGCCTGTTTCTTGCGTACATGAGCATCTACGTGACGGACCTTCATGCTCAGCTTCTCTACCCGGCTAGTGATGTCCTGCCACATCTCTGCCGCCCAGATGGGTTTCCCTTGGCACTGCCAGTTGACCTTTCTCCATCGCTCTAGCCATCCCCACAGAGCATTGGCCACCATCCATGAGTCAGTGTAGAGATAGAGTCTTGGCCACTTCTCTTGTTCAGCTATATCCAAAGCTAACTGAAGAGGTTTAAACTCTGCAGCCTGACTTGACCCGCCTTGTCCTTCGGTCACTTCTGCAACTCGCCGTGTGGGACTCCATACGGCTACCTTCCATTTTTGGTTTGTCCCTACAATGCAACAGGAACCATCCGTGAAGAGCGCATATCACCTTTCATCTGCTGGTAAATTGCCATATGGTAGGGCCTCCTCAGTCCGTGTCACCTGCTCCTCTTCTTCTTCAGAGGATAGTCTGAAACTCTCACCTTCGGACCAATTGGTGATAATTTCCAGAATCCCAGGGCGATTAGGATTCCCTATCAGAGCGATCCACTTACTCCATGTAGCATCCGTGGTGTGATGTGTAGAAGGAACTCTTCCCTCGAACATCCAGCCCAGCACTGGTAGTCGGGGTGCCAGGAGGAGCTGCACTTCGGTGCCGATCACTTCTGAGGCAGCTCGAACTCCTTCATAGGCAGCCAGGATCTCTTTCTCAGTTGGTGTATAGCTGGTTTCAGATCCTTTGTATCCCCGATTCCAGAATCCCAGAGGTCGTCCTCAGGTGTCCCCAGGCACCTTCTACCAGAGGCTCCAGGAAGGGCCATTCTCCCCGGCTGCAGTGTAGAGCACGTTCTTCACATCCTGTCCTGTCCTTACTGGTCCAAGGGCTACCGCATGGGCAATCTCCTGTTTAATTTGTTCAAAGGCTTGTTGTTGTTCAGGGCCCCACTGGAAATCATTTTTCTTCCGTGTCACAAGGTAGAGAGGGCTTACAATCTGACTGTACTCGGGGATATGCATCCTCCAAAAGCCCACAGTGCCTAGGAAAGCCTGTGTTTACTTCTTACTGGTTGTTGGGGACATGGTTGTTATTTTGTTAATCACTTCCGTTGGAATTTGGCAGCGTCCATCTTGCCACTTCACTCCTAGGAACTAAATTTCCTGAGCAGGTCCCTTGACCTTACTCCGTTTAATGGCAAAACCAGCTCTTAGGAGAATCTGGATTATCTTCTCTCCTTTCTCGAAGACTTCCCCCTCTGTGTTCCCCCATACAATGATGTCATCAATGTACTGTAGATGTTCTGGAGCCTCGCCCTTTTCCAGTGCAGTCTGGATCAGTCCATGGTAAATGCTGGGACTGTGTTTCCACCCCTGAGGCAGTCGATTCCAGGTGTACTGCACACCTCTCCAAGTGAAAGGAAATTGTGGCCTGCACTCCGCTGCCAAAGGAATGGAGAAAAAGGCATTGGCAATGTCAATGGTGGCATACCACTTGGCTGCCTTGGACTCCAGCTCATACTGGAGCTCCAGCATGTCCGGCACAGCAGCACTTAGGGGTGGTGTGACTTCATTGAGTCCACGGTAATCCACCATCAACCTCCACTCTCCGCTGGACTTACGCACTGACCATATAGGGCTATGAAAGGGTGAGTGAGTCTTGCTGACCACCCCCTGGGTCTCCAGGTCACGGATCATCTTATGTATAGGGGTCACAGAGTCTCGGTCGGTGCGGTATTGCCGACGGTGCACTGTTCCTGTGGCTATCCGTACCAATTGTTCTTTAACCTTGTTATAGGTTATAAATCTGAGAGGTGAATTTTTTCTTTCCCTGCTTCTCTGTAAGAAAAAATGGAGTTGGAATGGGAGGGGGGAAGGGGAGGTCATTAGCTTTACAAAAGATTTAGGCATCCAAGCTACATTCCTAGCTAATGGCCCATTGGAAGGTTGGAGTGAGGGGGCTGGCCGCCCGGACAGAGGACAGGTGAGATGGTGGAGTTTGCTCTCGGAGTGGAGACTGGGGTCTGCGTGCAGGCATTTGGGGTGAAGGACTGGGGATCTGGCTTTTTGACTTCTCATCCTAGCCAACTCAGACTACTGGCTTCAAGTTGCCTGGGAACTTTCTCTTGTCTCCAGCCCGGATCTGCTGTGTTTCATTGGAGAGTTGCGTGCCCACGGGAGAGAAGGGAGGAGTTTTGAGACACCGGCACCTGAGACAAGTGAGTCCCGTGGGAGTGAACTGTTTCCCTTCCCTTTATTTTTCTCCCACTGAGGGAAGGGTCCCCCATTTTCTTCTCGGCTACTCCCATGCTATAAGACCACCCCCCCCAGACCCCTCTCCCTGCGTGATGACCGCCAGAGCCCAACAGCGCCCCCTGCTGACCACGACAGAGTACTGCAGGCTCTACACCTTCAGGGATCCAACAGTGCCCCCTGCAGGCAACGACAGAGTACTGCAGGCCCTGCATGTCTAGCAATCCAACATCACCCCCTGCAGGCCATTATTAGAACTGCGCTAAAGGACAGAGAAGTATTCATTCAGATCTTTTTTTTATTCTAGGACTACTGTCTAGTTTTTTTGTGTTCTGTTACTGTTTTTGCCAACATACATATATCTTTTAATAAAGGGTTGTTATTTCTTCTGGTTTTTTTCACACTTCCTCCATTAAAGCCTTTTAATTTTTAATTTACAATTTCTGAGAGAGAGGAGTTTGGTCTACCTCATAACTCTTCCTCTTTCGCAAACATTCCAGTCTCCTCAGACTGAGACATTTTTGGCGCCCAATGTGGGGCCTGGAAAAAGGAAAGGTGGAAAAAGAATAACTACCCTTTGTGTGAGTTACGCGCATTTTGAACCCCTTGTGTGATTGACACACATTTTGAACCTGTAGGCACCATGATGTTAGGGGTTGTTGCTTTCCTCTGGCATATAACCATGCCAAGATACTTGTCACACCTGTCAATGTGTTTCAGCTCAGATACTAGTACTCTCATTGCGATAAGTACCTTTGAGTTTGTGCATTGGGTTTCTGATATGGCAAACTCAGCACCTGTGATTTTCATCTGGATTATCTCCTCAAGAATGCACTACTGCTCTAGCCTAAGCTGTTTCCTCTGGAGTTTTAAGGATAATAGCACCCATTCCTATGGAGAAACACAGGGGAATGTATTTGCCTAACCCTTTATTCAGTTTCCTTTTGGGTACAATACAATGGTCTCTGGGAAGTTTAAATCCTCTTTAGATGTCAGAGACGTTTAACTTGTTGGGCTTTCTATCCCAGTTTGTGCCATTATAGTATACCTAATATATGAAACCAAGGCCAAGAACTACCGAGAAGGCATCCAGGAGCCTGCCCCAGGGGTGGAAAACCTCGAGTGGCATGGGTTATGGGAGGACATGGGTAAATTCCTAGAAAGTTGCTCAGCTCCCATAACATGGAATCTCACCCTTGAACAACTCTTGAACCCTACAAAAATAATGAAAACTGTGAGGGAGAGAGGTCGTGATGGATCCATGGAGAGGCCGTTGGCAGCTGCATGTGGGGCTTTGGCCATTGCCTACAGGAAGTTGCTCGATATGGTGCAGCACTTCCAGGGAAAAGGAAAAAATGAAAACAAAACGCCTAATACCAAGGTGACTCAGGATAAGGCCAAAGCAAAGGGGCAGATCAAGCCAACGGAGGTTGCCCCTATCCAAAGGAAGAAATATAAAGCCAAATCAGTTCTCCCAGCTGACGATGATGGGGAGGCAGGACCCTTACAAGCGGTTGCTCCAGAACCAGAAATCATCACTGAGTCTTTATCATATAACAACCTCCAGAGCTTACGGACAGACGTTGTTCGTCGTCCAAATGAGTTCATTCTGGCCTGGATGATCCGAGTTTGGGACTCTACAGGTGATGCCATAAACCTTGATGGCGGTGAAGCGAGGTTCTTGAGGTCTATTGCCCAGGATGTGGGTACTGAGGAGGCGTTTGTGAGGGAATCGAAGTCCCTGTCTCTTTATGCATGGCTTTTGGACGGTGTGAGGGAGAGGTTCATTTACAGAGATTCCTTGCACAGGCTGGAAGACCATAGAAGAAGGAATCCTACGGCTGAGGGAAATGGCACTGCTGGAAGTATTGTTTGGAGGGGATGGGCAACCCACCAACGATCCTGACAAGGTTAAGTGTACACCACAGATGTGGTGGAGCTTCACACGTATGGGACCGTCCACACATAAAGGTTACCTGACATCATTGCAGGCTGGAGAGAAGCGGGAGCCAGTGATGTCTGTAATAAATAAACTTCGGTTGTACGACAGTATGATCGAAGGACCACTACAGGCCCGCATCTCCACTGTAGAGACAATGATTAATGAGCTCAAGGAATTAACTACAGGGTTGAAAGAGAAGGTTGGGGGAAGCAATTTCCATATGGTCCCAGTGAGAACCAGACGCCCCCCAGCTAGAGAGAGCTGACAGACCTCAAGAACTGAGTTGTGGTACTTCCTAGCTGACCATGGAGAAGACATGAGACAGTGGGACAGGAAACCTACCCGGGCCCTAGCAGCCCAAGAACTGAAAAGAAAGAAAAGGGGAAGTCTGCTAAAGTGAGTGCCGTACCAGTATCCTGTGGGCAGGGATCTGACCCCCTAGAGGGTACCTCCCGACTGTATTCACAAGAGGAAAACAGTGACTGGCAGGATGAAGACCAATGTTAGAGGGGCCCTGCCTCTAGCCAGGTAGAGGCACGGGACAACCATGTCTATTGGACTGTGTGGATCAGATGGCCTGGCAAGTCACACCCACAAAAATACCAGGCTTTGGTTGATACTGGCGCTCAGTGTACGTTAATGCCCTCAGGACATGTGGGACCAGAGACTATTTCCATTTTTGGGGTGACTGGAGGGTCTCAAGAGTTGACCATGGTGGAAACTGAGGTGATCTTGACCAGGAAGGACTGGCAGAAACACCCCATTGTGACTGGTCCAGATGCCCCATGTATCCTGGGCATTGACTATCTCAAGAACGGGTACTTCAAAGACCCCAAGGGACATAGATGGGCTTTTGGAATAGCTGCTGCGGAGATAGAGGTGGTTAAACAGTTGAACTCATTGCCTGGTCTCATGGAGAGCCCTTCGGCTGTGGGGTTGTTGAAAGTTGAGGAACAGCAAGTGCCAATTGCCACCACAATAGTGCATCACCGGCAGTACCGGACAAACTGAGACTCTGTGATTCCCATCCATAAGATGATCTGTGAGCTGTAAAGCCAAGGGGTGATCAGCAAGACCCATTCACCCTTCAACAGTCCCATCTGGCCCATGTGTAAGTCTAATGGAGAATGGAGACTGACTGTGGACTATCGTGGCCTGAACGAAGCCACTCCACCGCTGAGTGCTGCTGTTCCAGACATGTTGGAGCTCCAGTATGAGCTGGAGTCCAAGACAGCCAAGTGGTATGCCACTATTGACATCGCGAAAGCATTCGTCTCCATTCCCTTAGCAGCAGAGTGTAGGCCACAGTTCGCTTTCACCTGGAGGGGCGTGCAGTACACTTGGAACCAACTGCCCCAGGGGTGGAAACACAGTCCTACCATCTGCCACGGACTGATCCAGACCACACTAGAGAAGGGTGAGGCTCCAGAACACCTGCAGTACATTGATGACATCATCATATGGGGGGACACAGCAGAGGAGGTTTCTGAGAAAGGAAAGAAAATCATCCAAATCCTCCTGGGTGCTGGGTTTGCCATAAAGAAGAGTAAGGTTAAGGGACCTGCCCGAGAGATCCAGTTCCTGGGGGTGAAATGGCAAGATGGGTGTCGTCAGATCCCAACAGAAGTCGTTGATAAGATCACAGTAATGGCCCCACTGACCAGCAAAAAGGAAATGTAAGCTTTTTTGGGTGCCATAGGTTTCTAGAGGATGCATATCCCAGAGTACAGTCAAATCGTAAGTCCTCTCTATCTGGTAACCCACAAAAAGAATGATTTCCAGTGGGGCCCTGAACAGCAACAAGCATTCGAACAGATTAAACAAGAGATTGCACACGCTGTAGCCCTTGGGTCAGTCAGGATGGGAACAGATGTGAAAAATGTACTCTATTCTGCATCTGGGAATAAAGGTCTCTCCTGGAGCCTCTGGCAAAAGGTGCCTAGCAAGACCTGAGGCAACCTAATTGGACTCTGGAGCCAAAGTTACAGAGGATCTGAAGCCAACTACACCCCAACAGAGAAGGAGATCCCAGCGGCTTATGAAGGAGTACAAGCTGCCTCAGAGGTGATTGGCACAGGAGAACAGCTCCTCCTGGCACCTCGACTCCCAGTGCTGAACTGGATGTTTAAGGGAGCATCATGCCACTGATGCTACATGGAGTAAGTGGATCGCTCTGCTCACGCAGTGCACCCGTATTGGAAATCTGAATTGCCCTGGGATCCTAGATGTCATCACAAACTGACCGGAAAGTGAGAGTTTTGGTCTAGCAGATGAAAAAGAAGAAGAGCAGGTGGTACGGGCTGAGGAAGCCCAAGAATACGAAAAACTCCCAAAAGAAGAAAAACGCTATGCCCTCTTCACTGACGGTTCCAGTCGCCTTGTAGGAATGAAACGTAAATGAAAAGCAGTTGTATGGAGCCCTGCCCGACAAGTTTCAGAAGCTACTGAAGGTGAAGGAGAATCGAGCCAATTTGCAGAGCTCAAAGCTGTCCAGTTAGCATTGGACATTGCTGAACGGGAGAAGTGGCCAAAGCTTTACATCTACACTGACTCGTGGATGGTAACCAATGCTCTGTGGGGATGGTTGGACAGATGGAAGAAGGCCAATTGGAAATGCAGGGGAAAACCTATCTGGGCTGCTGATACGTGGCAAGACATTGCCACCCAAACAGAGAAGTTAATTGTGAGAGTCCGCCACGTAGACACCCATGTGCGCAAAGGCCGAGCCAATGAGGAACATCGCAACAATGAACAGGCAGACCGAGCTGCACAAGTCAAGGTGTCACAGGTGGACCTGGACTGACAGCACAAAGGAGAGTTGTTCCTAGCACGGTGGGCCCATGATGCCTCAGACCATGAGGGCAGAGATGCCACTCATAGATGGGCACGAGACCGAGGGGTGGACTTAACCAAGGACATTATTTCCCAGATTATCCATGACTGTGAGACCTGCGCTGCCATTAAACAAGCTAAGAGACTGAAGCCCCTATGGTATGGTGGACGTTGGAGTAAGTATAGATATGGGGGGACCTGGTAAGTTGATTACATCACACTGCCACGAACCCGCCAAGGTAAGCGCTATGTGCTCACCATGGTGGAAGCCACCACTGGATGGCTGGAGACACATCCAGTGCCCCATGCCACTGCCCAAAATACCATCCTGGGCCTTGAAAAGCAAGTCCTGTGGCGACATGGCACCCCAGAGTGCATCGAATCAGATAACAGAATGCATTTCAGGAACAGCTTAGTTGCCACCTGGGCAGAGGAGCATGGCATCAA